CTCTTCAACGATCGAGCGTCGCATCCAGTCAAGCCCCGAATTTCGCATCTTTCAGATTTTCATAATGCCTAGTTTCTATTCAGTCGTTGAGCTGTCGTTACATGTCTTTCCATGTCTTTGCAATAATCGTAAAAGACCGATAACGAATTATGAGAAGAATCATGTCGTTTCCTTTCTTTTTATGTCGTTGAGATAGGATTTGATCTATCCCGATTATCCGAGTGACACCAGGGGCGGATCTAGACTATATCAACTGTATCAAATAATACAGTCAGATTTTGCCGAAAATAACTATAATCATAAATGCTTTTATTTCATCATTTTACATCATTTGGAAATCGTTTTTTCGCTTCACAAGCTGACAAGCGGTTACGGAGCAATTTTTGGCATTTCGCATTCGCCAGCAACGGTTCACTTCTACCTGCTAACAAGCCCGCTTTTTGGGAGTTTGCTTCTCCGTTCAACTCAATAACATAACTCAGAAAGACATTGTCGTAGCAGTTGAGATAAAAATAGAACATTTTTGATACAGTCAGCGGGGGGGTATAAGCTATATTTAGACCGTTCGACTGTATCAAACCAATCAGAATCGCGATCACTGATACAGTTTGATACAGTCAGATGCTGAGTCAGCTACATTGCTCTATTTGAACGATGACCAACATTCCACGCAAAAGGCGCAAGTCTCATTACAAGCAAACTAAGTCTATACGCAGTTTATCTGGCTATCATGGCATCACGCGCTCTGTTAGACAAGTTGAACTGTGCGCTCAATTAGCGAAATTCTTTGGCTGAGAAGGTCGAAGAGGTAACGAATATCAGACATTCATGCGAAATTATTTTTCTGCTGCTCAAAGAGGGGAATAAATCGCGAGATATATACATGTCAATTTGCGGAGCTACAGTTTCCCAAAAGCCAGCGATTGCGCTCTCATAACCATTATCCCGTCAGGTAACTACAAAGTTTTGTGAATATATTAATATCTTATTCGTTGTAATGATTTTGTGAAGTTAATTTGCATCATGAGTGGAAAATCTGGCTAAACTAATACCCAGTCTGATTTGTATACAATAATAGCATCGCGTTCGGATCAATGCACGTGTTTATATTAAAACCGCTATTATTAATATTTTCTTAAGGTTGATCTGCTAATAGAAATAGTACTAAAGTCGTTACTGTCGTTAGAAGTTTGCCTGAATCATTTCCTAAGCTTTGTCCATCTAGTTTTAATAGCTATGAGTTTATGAAACGGAGTTTGCTCTAAAATTTTGACTGTGAAATATGAAATGCCCACAATGGGAAATATGATACCACTTTGCCCCATGAATAACCTTAACATTATATAAGTCTAGTCACTGACTGCTGGGAGTAGAACTACCTTTAATTTACTGCAACTTCCAAATTTATCAATTTGATAAGAATATAATCATAATCATCAATTTTTTTAGTACGCATTTTAAAGCCGGGAAAAATGTGCTTTGCTAAGAAAAGCCGAAAATTTTGGTAAAAAATATATCTGGAAAAGTACGCTCAAATCGCGGGAAATAGCATCTCCGGGCTTCCAGTTTCAAAAATTTTCCGGGGGAGCATGCCCCCGGACCCCCCTAGTTATGCGAGACCTAGTCTGTGATACAGTCAGATTTTCGGCCAGATCCGCCCCTGGACACTGTCGTTTTTCTGTTTCTCTCAGTCGTTATCAGAAGTTCACGATTATTCCAAAGACACGGAAAGACATATAACGACAGCTAACGACTGAATGGAAACTAGGCATCAGGGAATTTTTTTTCAATGTTTGTCAACCTATAGCCTTGTAGTTGTCTCGTTTATTCCTATATTCATTTTCACTGCCAATTCTGCACGAGACTACAGTTATATAATTATATTTTGCCGTGCATTAGCAAGAAAAAGTTCATAAAAAATTTACAGCACAAGCATCATTTGGTAATAAAAAATCGAACGCACTTGCCTAATCTTTGATTACTACTGGTTTAATGCCATTATTTACTGGCCCATACTCGATCAGGCTCGAAATCCCGCTGTCCTCATCACACCGGCACCTTCCACTCTTTCAAATCGTATTGGCAGTAGCTCATGCAATCATTATGTTTTATATTTTTAGCTTGTATGTGGCTTACCCAAGAATTGGCTGTAAAAAATGTTTTCGCTCACTACCACAGGGGTTGCCGTTAGTTTTGCTTTTTTTATGTTTCGTTCATGTGTGGCAACGATCGCTGAATACATGCCCTTATTCATGGCACAATTAGGATACAGCACAACTTATGTCGGTTTGGTCCCTGTGCTTGGTTTCGTCACTCAAGTGATAGGAATACCGATCGCAGGATATTTGTCTGACAAATTTCGCATGAGGAAGCACCTGCTGCTTATATGTATCCTTTTGTCGATTCCCAGCACCTTGCTGTTTCTGGCACCGAAAGCGCCTGATTTAACCTGCGAAGAATCATCATCGGGAAATATCACAGAATCATTCGGAAACTCCAGTATTGTTCATAATTCTGTAATGAACGCATCATCTGCTGAAAAAAATGTCGAAAATCCTTTGGGGAATAGCGAGACGAAATACGACGGCGATATGGTAAAATTCTTTTTGATTATACTTTTCTTGCGTGGTTTTTTCGAACTGGTTAAACGACTTTCTGTTACATTAATTACTGTCGCCGCTGTGACACATGTTAAGCAAGATAAATCAAAATTTGGATTTTATGCATTTTGGGGTGAAATTGGCGCCGGAATTTCGCTCTTCATTGTTGGAACGTTGGCAGGCCACATACCCCATTTGGTCTGCGGGAAAGAAGTCCCAAGTTATTACGTTGTTTTTTTCTACGCGGCTGCGGTACAGTGTATGACTTTAATTTCTTTGCCTTGGTTAGAATACGAGTATCTTGAAAAACGGGTGGTGGATTATGAAGAAGTCAAGTCGGTCTTGTCAAAACTCATTATATTCTTGTCCTGTTCATTTGCGCGCATGCAGGTTTCTGTACTGCGTTTCAATTGCGTTGGGAATTTTGGTACATGCGGCACTTGGGCGGCACGCCGGTTGTAATGGCAGTTGGTGGTTTCTCAGACGGCTTCTAGTTGGTGTTTGGTACATCATATCCCGTGTTATCATTGGAAAACTTGGCGAATTGTATGTCATAGCAATTTCACTGTTTCTATTTGCGCCTCGTTTGCTGGTCTAGCGTTTACTGAAAATGCTTGGCTGGTGATATTCCTCGATAGTTTTCAGTCTGTTTCGTTTGTCCTAACTTATGCGTCTTTGGTAATTCACTTTTCAAAAGCGGGATCAAAGGCATCGTCTGCTTTTTTTCAAGGTGAGCAGAATCCTATCAGTGATTTTTATACGCCATGTATGGTATTATTTTGGGGCAAAATTGAACGGATGCTGCATGGTTTATGCTCGCGGTTATTTCCCCGATTATTTCCGGGTGAAGCATGCCTAGGATTCACTTTTCAAGAAGCAGAATGAAAGGCATCGCCTGCTTTTTTTCATGATGAGCTAAATTCTATTAATGTCAATTTTGTGGTTTAGGCAAGCAAATTTAATGTTCTTATTCTAGAGGAAAAATTGATATGCAATTTTTATGTTAATATTTTTAAGGAGGTGGAAGCTTAATTTGGGGTGCATATATGGAGATTACTTTATGGTTGGCGAGTGCGTACGATGCGATCGGCTATCTTTAAAAGGGGGAACGGGGAATCGGGGATTCGGGGAATGGGGAAATCGGGGAATCGGGGAAGGGGGGAATCGGGAAATAGGGGAATCGGGGAATGGGGGAATCGGGGAATCGGGGAATGGGGGAATCGGGGAATCGGGGAATAGGGGAATCGGGGAATCGGGGAAACTGAAAATGAGATAAAGGAAAAATGCGACTCATTGAGATAAAAAACGCGATAAAGGATAAGAATAGCCTGAAAAGCGGTTCTCAGAGGGGATAAAAAGCCGTTTGAATAAAGCTGAATCTGCTTGTAAACTAGAACTGAACTAGCGAACTTTGATTTGAGTAGACATTGATGGTGTTTACACACTGCAAAATAGTTCTTTTCACAGTTAAATTGTACCAGGTGGCCTTTTGCAGCACCATCAATAGGGTGGTTCCAACTTCCAAGCCTAGGCTACATAGCCTTTAATACGACTGGTTTGCTTTCCCGTTCCATGGCTTATTCTTAATTAATGCATGCTAGAACTGAAGGTCTTCCAGATATTTAGAACAAATTTGAATAACTTCACAAATAACCTCACGAATAACCCTCTGCTCTGTGTGGAGACGGAAGGAGCAAGCTCACAAAAAGAAAAGTGTGGGTATTAGTCATAGTATTATTTCGTTAGAAAACAACCCATTTAAAAGCAGCCGAATTAATAAGCTGAAAGGCTATTGTTTGTAAAAAGTATTTAATAATAATAATGAAATATCACGATTTAGACATAGAATCGTGATTTCCCAATTCCTCCATTCCCCGATTCCCCGATTTCCCCATTCCCCGATTCCCCGATTCCCCGATTCCCCATTCCCCGATTCCCCGATTTCCCGTTCCCCCTTTTAAAGATAGCCCGATGCGATCCTCGTTGCGATCCTTCACAACGAGCTTTTCATTATAAAAATCGTACAAACGAGCCAACCATCAAGTAATTTGTTTATTATAAATGTGTATAGAGATCAATTTGACAACGGCACGCTTTAAAAAACACAGCGAGCATGCAACATTAATCAAAATTTTATGCATCAAAACATATTTATTACCGTTCAGTTTCTTTATAAAATTGATCAAAAGAAGTTAGATATTCTGTCCGAAAGATTTGAGGATTTGCTGAATGTGAAAAGATCTTGAATATGAGGATTATGTTTTCAATCTCACTCCCATAATTTTATTTCGACGCCATCTTGAAAGAAAATGTAAAAAAATTTCCGGCAAAATGACATTCCCCACGTGTGAAGAATATCGTACGTCCAATCAAAAGCCGTGCATGGCATTTTTTCACACGTGATAAACATCGTAATGAGATTAATTTACCGAGTGAAATACGATTTTTATTTCATCATTCGATTCCAGGGGCGGATCTAGACCGGTGCAACGGACGCAGATGCATCGGTCAAAATTGTGATATTGAAATTTGGTCAGATATAATATATTTGTATAGATTATACACATATAAAAATACCTGATAGCTAACTAATGTGATCACACCTCTCCTTGAATAAACTCAGAGTTTTTGTGGGTAGCCTGCGCATGCGCGGCTAACCACTATGTAGTCGAAAAAGTGTCCGGATGTTTGTGTGTGTGTGTGTGGGTGCCACATCTTCGGTAATCGTCGGATATACGAAAGATGACGAACGGTGGTTCTTCTACTTCCGGAAAATTTCGTTGTTTTCGAAGGACGGAAGCAATCGAAGTCACGTTAATACGTTTGTCAAATTTTAAAGCGAAGGCGAGTACTTTAAAGACGAAAAAGCGGTGATCGGTGAGCGTTGAATCTACAACTACAAAGTTACACTAATAGAAAATAAATAAAACATTACCTTATTTGGCAAATGGTAGTAACAAGTTGCCCTGTTTTATAAATTAAAATGCACTATTTCACTTGTCAATTTCTTGGTTGTGGACATGCAGCTATTAAACCAAATATATTACCTTATAATTTGGCAAATAGTAGTAACAAGTTGCCCTTTTTTATAAATTATACTATGCAATATTTCACTTGTCAATTTCTTGCTTGTGGACATGCAGCTATTAAACCAAATGCTTTGGAGTTTAAAAAGAAGCATTTATTTGAACATAACTATAAACAAAACATATTTTTTTAAAAAACAAAACTTTTAACACAAGTGCATTTCAACTGAAGAAAAATCTTTCAAATATTGTTCAGATACATAGATGAGCCCTTTGAAATTGTTATGCTGATATGTTTGAAACAATTTTTACACATTTATATCAATGATGAATGATGGCATTCAATGTTAACTAATTGTCGGACTGATTAGCACAGTGATAAGATATTGTCAACTGATAAATTTAAACTTGGAAAAAGCCACACAGATTTTTTCGACCTACGAACTGGTGCTATTATGTCCAGCTAATTGATGCTGATAAGTTATCTGTAATCAACATTGCAAACCATCTGTATCAATGAAATTACTGGATCAATGAAATCATACTATCATCTTCAGTTATAATGGTGAACATATTGCCAATAAACTTTGGAAAACAAGTGGTATAATCTTACTGGAACAATAACATTTAACCTTTATTGAATATTAACATAACTATAACATTGATTTATCAACAAAATAACCCATCTTGTATGTAACAAAGACATGCTGATAATCAAAGGACATCAAAACGATGATCATTTGAAAAAGTCTGAATCCTTTTTCTCCTTCTTAACTAAGCTTTATGTTATCAGATGATGTGTGCCACCATCCCGGAACCTTACTCTCTTTTTTGTTCTCTTCACCTATTCTACTTAAAAATTTCATTTCCTATCTCTTGTAAAAATACTTATGTATGTTTTGATCTGTCTAAAATGTATTTAATACAATAAAATATTATATATAGCTTGTGTACTAAATTGACTTTGTTATAACTGTATTCAACTAGCTAACTATAGGGTGTTTAATCCCTTGTTTATGGCATTAGAACATAAGACTAGAAAATAATATTTTATTGCATCAGTTGATATTTACTTGCCACTATAGCAGCTTTATCGCAGTTAATAATGTTTTACAGGCTACCCACATGTACGCATTGCGTACCTATTTTTAATCACTTCAAACCAGCGATTTAAATTCATTATTATTGCCAAGTTATCGATATTTGCGATCAAAACATGATTTCGCACTTTCTTTTGTTTTTCGACAAGTCGTCGTGAATAATTTCGCGACAAAAATGGCTTAAACATGGATATAAATAACTTTTCATTACGTAATACACAGTAGCACATGTGAATCACTGATGTGAATTAAGTGCACCGGTCCCGAGTCCTTTTCCGCGTGAAATCTACTGTTACGTCACATTGCCATTGTTTTGAGAGTAGATTTGGAAATTTGTGCACCTGTGAGTGCACCGGTCCCGAGTCCTTTTCCGCGTGAAATCTACCGTGACGTAAACGTTTCCATTGTTTTGAGGGTAGATTTGAATCCGCCGACCGATGCACTCGTGCAGATTGCGGGCTTTTTGCTACCTTTTCGCTTCAAGCCTCGTTTTAGATTCTACTGTGACGTACAGCTTTCGCTAAATCGCTTTGGCATAATGGAATTTGCTCTCCCACGCATTATCGAAGTCATGATTACAACAGCAAATAAGGGCATTATTCAAATTGAAAGAAAAATAAAGTTTGAGGTCAAACGGTAACGTACTCGCATAATTTTTCAAAATAAAGAAATGACTACATGCCCCTGGGGTCAATAATATAATCTCTATTCTCGAATATTCAATGGTTCTGGCCAGTTCTCCAGTTCGTTGATATTGCGTATAAATTTAAAGTTGCTTAGGTTTAATATAAAGCTTATGTTATAAGAGCAATTTTTGAATAAATGCCAATAATGGTCATATTATTATGACCACTAGACCTTACTATGACCACTTATTTATGACCACTATACCACTAGTGACTTTGAGTCACTAGACTAGGTATAAATTATAAACTGTGATTTACATTATTTTATTAATGATGGAAATCACAGTATATAATTTATACCTTACACCATTACTATGCGTGCGAAATAAGGTAACTTGTGTAGCTGATGTCAAGATAATACGACAAGTTTGAGGTATTACAATTAAGTTGTTTTCTGGTTTAATAATGCTACACAACAGCCACAAAAATTATTAGGAATGAATGATCAATGATGTCCAGTTTAGGTCATTACCAATTACCATACAGGTAATTAGACAGTGTAAATTCCTTAACTTCTAGCTATGGTTGCTCATGGCTGTTTTGGTCACCAAAGACTGGTGAATCACAGCTAGTCTATAAATAACTAAATTGCCTAATATAGTTCAAATTAACTCAAGTCTCAACTATTGCTGTAAGTCAAATGGACTGCATTGCTTTAGTTTTAAGATTCTTGGGATAATTAATATAAAAGTTATTTGGGATGAAATAACTTTTGCAACAATATGGGAATCCTAAATGCCTGTACATAGTACATACACTAGTAATTGATTGTGAAGAATATTTTTATTACTCATTGATGTATTCATTGTTGTAACTCTTGAACAACAAAACTATAGGATTGCATGCATACAACCTCATTTATAAATAGATCGACCTTGCTTTTAAGATTTGGCCAGGCAGGATACTACATAGTCTTGGCATATCTTCTATATTAGAAAGATTATTTACACCAGCTTTGCTGATTAAATTAACATAATTAGCCCCACTGCCCCAATCAGTGTTTGTCAGACTAAAACTAAAAAGTCAATTAATAAGACATAAACACTTGAATATTTGCCTAAAGTTTGCAAGCTCTAAAAAGTGGTTCCTTCCTAGTTGTTTTGGAAATATTTTATTTCTAAAGGGAGACAATACTTTGTCAATATTTTTAATTAAAATTTAAATAACTAGCTTTGTACTACTCACAAAAATATTGATAAACATTATTAAGATTGATCAATAACTCGATCTCTCTTATTTCAAAACATCAATTTTTTCAAATTTTTCAAATACTTTTTTGAATAATGAAATTAGTGCAACTCTTGTTGAATAATTAAAGGCCCTATTTCTTCTGAGCTTTATGGAAAAAATTATTTGAATATTTTGATAATTGGTATTGACTTTCGACTTTCAACTACTTTTGCAAACAACTATTTAATTCAAGATTTTACAATGTCTAAACTGCAGTTTATGCAAGATTCTAAAATGAACTCCTGAAATTGTATTATGAAGTACCTCTTTATGTTTAAAAGCTAGGACGTAGTTTTGTCATGAATCTTTGAATGCATGAGTTGGTTTCTATGTTTGAATGTCTATGTTTGAAACTAGTCAGCCAAATTAAATGCAGGGAATCGCGTTTTCGAGTCTCGCATTCCTAGGCTTAAAATTTCCCGGGATAGATGTCTCCGGCCCGCTAGTGGGCCTTTGACATTATCCATGAAAGATGCATCGGTCAGGAAATTCGCTAGATCCGCCCCTGTTCGATTCTGCTGTGCATAAATCTATTCTCGGCATTACCATCATATATACACATTAACCACGCTTGCTCTTGTCAGCTACCTCTGTTAGTAATAGTTTTTGATAAATTTCGTAATCAAAAGCCCAACGACTTTGTTGATGGCGATTGGAGTTTTGGCTGATGGCGTAGGCAAACAACGCGCGAGATTGACGAATGTATTACTCGTACGCGTAGCCGTACTCGTAAAACAGATTAGCTATATACAGAAATGAAACTTCTGTGTTTTGCTCATTGTTTTGTGTCCCAAGCGCAGCCAGCGCGTGATGACTTCCGGCGAGCTTGGCAAGTCTCATGAGGGAATTTAATGAGTAAAACGCCGTTTTTAAGACGAAAAATTTCTTTTTTAAAAATTCTCGCTACCTATGCTTATTTCTGGAATAAATTTTTAAACAGTGTCGGTATATGTGTCCTTCGCTAATGACGTCATCCTTAGCAAGAAATCTCGTGCTAAAATTCTAAATCAAAACCACAAGTTTTCAATATTTTAAAAAATTGTAGGTAGCCACCTTAAACTCTTATTATTTCGTTTTCACATTTCTATTATTCTTAGATATTTGTTAATTCATTTCGTTTTATCTTCTGGAGATATATTGTATCTAAAGCATGTATTACATGTTTTCTAAACTCAAAAATAGCTCAGCCAGTAAATTTATTGCACAGCTTTCCATACGGCAAGCCCTGCACTCTTCAGCTATATTTTTCCAGTTTTTGCCAGCATCAAATAATTTCATAAACCAGTTCTTAGCTCAGAAGATCCACTTTATCTATCTTTTTAGAAATTTTAAGCGAAATGGGACATCGCCCTAAAGGATTTGTTTAAATCAGCATTTGTTTGTCAAAAATTTGATTTTTCTATCGATTTACTCATTACATTTCAACATGACACTTGCCAAGCAAGTTACACATGCGCACATTGGGCAAAAAACGACGTGACTCGATTTGGCGTCAGTTTCATATCTGTATATAGCTAATCTGTGGTCGTAGTCACTGCTAAAGCTCCCTATTACCAAGGGTAAAATCCGATTTATTACGTTTTACGCGGTGAATTCGGTGGAAAATTTGGTCTTGTTATTTGTTAAACCGTGAAAAGTCCTGACCTCATTCGAGTTTCCCCCTAATTTAGTAAAAATACATATTTTCCACATTTATAAAAATATAAATTTATAAATTTCATCAAAATTTTGCTAAATGACAGTTTGAAAATACAAATTTTTGTCTCGACCAATCAAGAGCTTAGTAGTTCACACTGGCGCATGCGCATAACGTAGAAGACCGTCCATGGCGTGAGGTCCATTGCATAATGGCGGACGACTTTGATTTCGTATTTGCACATCGTGGGTGTAAATATCCGAGCGGATTTATAGTACCCTCGCACGGTGCTCCGCACCGGCTCGGGGATTATCCTAAGTCTGGCAACCCTCTCACAAAAAATAATGCATACACTAATACCATCGCTTGAAACACAAAAATTACGCTAGGTTCCTAAAAAAAACTGGATACAAAACACTTTGGATATATTTACTAAATTTATCTGTCAATTGATCATGTGTATTTTTATCGAAATACACTTTTTATTTGCAAAATTTAAGCATTCCTAAATTGTTTTCAAGTCTAAAAATGACAGATAAATTTATGAAATATATCCAAGGTGTTTTGTAACTAGTTTTTTGTCAGGAAGCTAGCGTAATTTTTGTGTTTCAAGCGATGGTATTAATGTATGCATTATATTTTTTGAGAGAGTTGCCACCCAAGATAGTATGCGGTACCCGCATTGACAATCGCATTGATCGGGCTCCCTCCGGTATCACTGCTGTAAATTGTCTATTTTCCTCTTCATCCTGGAACGAAGCTGCACTTTGAGGAATACATTTCTTTAATTTAGAAAAAAAAAATATTATTTATTTAATCTTTAATGGGGAAGAGGGTTACATAAAAAAAATTACTTTGTTCCAGGTGTGGTGAACCTAACTTTTCATGGAATTGGCAAGGAACTTGGCTCCGCAGTTTTTGGAATCTGTTTTGAAGAATTTGGTACAAGATTAAGTTTCTGTGGTTTCTCTGTTGTCACTGTGGCTTGGATGGCGGTGTTTACTATTTATATCTTCTGTGCTAAAGATGTTCATAGTTACCAGGAGGTCCCACGGGAGGAAGAAGTTAGTGATGATGATCGAGAAATAAAGTGAAGTTGATGCGGAGCATTTGCACTGATAATATGCCGCTGGCGGATCTGGGGGTAGTCAGAATAAATTACACAGCTAAATTTTGAATTCAAAACACCTTAATATTTTTAAAATGAAAAGGATATTTTTAAATAAAAATCTATTAGGATTTTAAGCGATTGCGATTTCAAGCTGTAATAATTTATTCTGATCACCCCCAGATCCGCTACTGTAATCTGTTAAAAATATTTCCAGGTGTTTAAATTACGTTCTTAAGATATGAAAAATAGAATTCTGAAGATAAAATAGAAATCGATGTAAATTCGAGTAAACCCTCATGATTGCGTGGTGGCCATTAATTTTTTACACATCTCTTATATTATTTAAGGATTTTAGCACTCTGTATGTACGTTATCCGGTTTTATATGCACGATTTCATAAACAAGGAACGAGAAGTCCAGTTCAACTGTCCTTAATAACAAGGCTATTGCATGGTTATTAGTTTCAATACAATATGATTAGATAAAAAATTACCAGTACGATTGCAAGTTACAGGTGTAGTAATTTAATCTGACTTACCCTGGGTCCGCCACCGGTCCCACAGCTTTCAAAGTAACGAGAAAACGTGTCCTTTTTTCACGGCTAACATTGCTCTGCCCTCCTGAGAGATACGAGCTTTATCTGAACGAATATGGTAAGAATAAGGTAAGATGAGAAAAAAACGCTGGTTCCCTCTCTATTTGTGACCATCCAAGTAAATTACGATGAGCAACAGAATACTGCCTACCCGCTATAAAGGTTTATGGTATGCATTAATAATTTTAAGGCTTGGTTCCAAAGTATTTTCCTTTTCACAGTGAAGTAGATTAATGATAAGTATATTAATAATGCGTCAGTGGGAACGAAAGCCTTCGGTCAGGATCTCATTCGTGCAACACACTTAATTGATGGACTAAGCAAGTCAGGCCGTAGCTAGAGCGCTTAATTGGGGCGTATTCATAATTATATTCATGTTTGTCTACTGCAGGAACAATAGCGTACAAAAGAAAGTAGTCGGGTGTAAGATGAATGTATGAATATTCCCAACCTACGTTACGGCCGTGTAAGGAACGAAGAATCAAACGAATTAAATAATAAGGTCTAGCTGGCTGGTTCTGCCGGTGTTTATCCCCGTTGCATTGCTTTTTCCATTTGCGAATCTCTTCGCTACCAGCGCTGATCCAGTGTTTTTGAGATATCTGAGTAAGTGAAATTCACTCCACATGTATGGTTGGCCCGCTCGTGATAATCTTTTACAACCAATTTCGCAACCCAACTACTCCTCGGAAGGATAACCGGAAACCTGGCATCATAGGATAATTGCTCAGCAAATTCTGGGCGGCTGGATAGTAAGCTTATCGACGGTAAGCTCTGGACCCCCTCGCCTTTTTTCGGGTTACGCATATTAAAAATCACTAGTCTTACCCACGTGCGAACCCGCACCAATCTGGACAAGTCCGAGAAACGTTCTGGTGTCATTCTTCATTCAGCTGTCACTGGCCCTTCGGTCTTCGCTTTCGGTGGTACAGAGGACTTCGGTCGCGAACGAAGTGCTGACCTTTGAGGGCTTCAGATTTGGTGGGCTGCGAGGCTGATGTTCCAGCTTCCCCTTTGGAAAGTGCTCATTGTTTTGCTTCAACCATTCCGGACCTTCCCAACAAGTCATATCTTCAGCCAGTTGAACCGGACTAACTCCTTGAGTGCAGGCAGTCTTAACGTGTTATCACTGGGACGGGCTGGTGCTGCTCTGGATTTCGCTCACACGATTTGCGACAAACGACCTAAAATCTCTACCTCTGCCCCGGATCCACAAAAGCACGTCCTCGCTGTCGAAATAGAAGCTCGCTTCTTGGATCGAGAGGCATAGGACTTTATGGAGCGATTGCGCCAATCTCAAATCCAAGACAGCGCAATAAGCTTGAGCCTTGGCGTCGTTGTTGCATTGAGTGCCGGGAGAGACCTTCGACTTTGCTGCGCTCATGCGGCAAGTGATTTGACCATTTTCATACTCATTACGGAGGTAACTGACTGCGCCATCCGTCTCCTCGATGCATCCACTAACATCACAACTTCCTTCTTCTTAACAGACGTCGCGAATCGGAGAAGACGTCATCATCTTTAGCGCTGTCCAGAGAATCGTCCATGTATGTGGACCTCAGAACGGTTTCTGCAGCCAGGGGATACTTCTCCTGCTATTTTCTTGCATTTTTCTGCGCCACAAATCGTGCTTCCATTAGCGCGCAGTTCTTCCTAAACACCACACTCCTGAATTCATACTTTTCAGGGTCTTGTTCTGGTCTCAGGTCCCTCCATAGCATTCGGTAGTACGGATGATCTCGTTCCTCGATAACGATCTGCTGATACATTTCCTTAATATCACTGGCCACCGCTACAGGGTTGCGCCGAAACCTCAATAGCACGTCAAACAAATCTTGCTGGAGTTTCGGGCCCGCGTGGATCTCGTCGACCCTTCTCCAGAGCAGCTCTCTTCTTCTGTCATAATTTGTATTGCTGAAAATCCAACGCCAGAAACTTCAACTTCCCAGAAACTCTTTAGGGTACGATCTAAATCACAACAACCGATATCACGACTGTCCCAACCGTTGTTTTGTTACTCAAAAAAGGCTGGACCGATCTGGGATCTGGGAACTGATCGAGGTTTATTACCAGTAGGCCAAATACAAGACCAACCAACTGGACCAAGACGTGCCACAGGTCCTCTCTCAACACCTTGAACGCCCACCATAAAGAAATGCATTTCCGGGTTGTCAACACCGATTACAATATCGGCTAAGCCATCCTTTGTGGAATGGCGATCGTAATGGCGATCGCGGTCCATTACATACCACTTATTAACCGAATTTGAGGTCCGTACTAGAAAAATCAGACCGAGGTCTTGACAGTACAGACCGAGCGATAGCGAGGTCCGTACATAAAAGACCGAGGTCTGATATTTTTCCAGTACGGACCGAACGTATTCGGTTAATAAGGGATTTATTATATGGCATACAGTATTTAGTTTATTTATTTATACAATGCGCTGCAGCATTCTTGCCGGCTCTTTCACCAGCCAGTCGCCAAGCAAGCACTGAAGTGGCTTCCAAAACTTTGTTTTTTACTCGTTAAATAAGAATGATACAGTAATCATAAACAAAAATCAAAGATGAATAAATATAATATTCACATGTACCAAATAATGCTCTTCTTCGTCCATTCTCCGTCGATATTTTTCGTGTCGAAAATAAAAGTGCAAGCTTGTTTTTATTCAAAAATATGAGAGTTGGACCGTTACTACGGCAACGGTCTAATACTGGGGGTTCCAGACCGGCAAAGAACCAATCAGCGCACGCCATTTTAGTCACGAAACCGCGTGCCATATAATAATGGCAAGTAATTACTGGAAAGTAATGGACCGCTGAAAACTCTTCTGAGCTAATCAGTGAGCTCTATTTCAACGGAAGTGACGCTTGCATATAATAAAATGGTTAATAAGATTTATGCGCAAAGAAATTAATACCACTGAGTTGTGTCGAGTTAGGAAATTGTGATGGGACAGGAGAAAGTGAAAATATCACAAGAACCCAATTTATATAGATTAATGTAATGCCTGGTGATCAGGCTGTAAGAACTGGACATGGTGCATCGCAGTGAACAGCTCAATAACGGGCATCATTGTGTACAGAGTGACACGTGAAAACTCACGAAAAACGAATCGCGTGGTATTGTCAATGGATGGGTCAAAGAAAGTACATTATTGCCGAGACAATTCAAAGATGAACTTTACAGTGTAGATATTGAGGCAAGTCTACAACGAAAAGGTTTACTATCAACAACATAAGCGAGTTGGATGGTGGCGAATAATCAAAATTTATGCACACTGATTGGGTTACTGAAAATGTAAACACACTTGTTGATTGGTCTAAAACGAAATCCTCTCTTGTTCCACTGAATAGGAACACACCTTTTACACTAGGTATGTGATAATAGATTTTACATTCGTTCTGATTTCAAAAACTTCACGAAAGTGATAAAGTTATTCTTTTCTTCTGCAGGCACTAATTAGCAAGGAACGAAAACCAGTTTGTGATGAATTGAATAGATTTCACTGACGTCTGCTATACGTTTGGGTATTATAAGAGGTACATATAATGTAATAAAAAATATATTTTAAATATAAATATAGAACCAACAAAGGCAATCAGCCGTTTGCAAGCCACATCAATATTACGTCAACGCATTGCATACAAAAGAATTTCAACCCTCTTAATGATCGCATCTAGAGGCGAATACAGTTTTGCAGAATGTTTGCAAGTATGCGAGGCGAAAATTATAAAATCGTACGCTTCGCTATAAATTCAATTTGCTAACAAAGTTTTGCTATGCTCGCTATTATGTTGCTCTAAAATAGTCTGGTCTTTGCACTACTGCTATCATCCACATTCGTGGCTCTTTTCTCTAACTAGAATAGGGAAAAATGTCAAGGTATGGAAATTGGGTGGGTCTTTAGCGGTGGCGTAGCCAGCATCGATAATTCATATATTCATTTTTTGCGGTATTGATTTCTTTAGGAATTTATTGTCTTTACAGTCACTTAACATGAATATACGAATGTTGCCCCCCCCCAATTATCGACCATGCTACTGCTTTATGAGCATGGGCGCAGCACGATTTATTGAAGTGCATTTCACAATTAAGAAACAGAAAACATTTTCCGTGTTTCTATACAGTTTTAGTATACACCCGGCTATTGTCTATTACAAATCTTACATTCTGATTGGCTACTCAACCATTGTCTATTCGTGATGGTGAACGTTTGGGAAAATTCGCTCGCGCGACTATATAAAATTGAATTAATCAAATTATTTTTCGGTGTAATTGCGGTGTATCGATTATTTTCTCGAAATTAATATATCTAGGTACAGGGTGTAAACTAAAACAATTAGACAACTCGCCTTCGTTGTCTATGAGGGAATAGTGAACTCAGGGTTCGCCTTCGTTGACTATTCGCTCATAGACCACTCGGACTCGTTGTCTAATTGTTAAATAGAAACACACGTGGGAGTTTGGGAGAATGAAACATAAACATTATTAATTGCACAAGTGCATAGGTTTGGCACGTAGATATCTATGGTTTGGCCGTACGACTGGCGGCAAAGCTTTGCGATTGGCTCTGGTGCTCATTAAACCAGTGTGGCATAACTTAGCAATTGGGTCTGATCCCTATCAGAATTCAGCTAATTCAGTCATGGCAAAATGATTAATTTTTAGTATTTTGTGTCTGGCCCTTTGATTAATCATTAAAATATTGAATCATGACAGCTTAGCCAAGCAGCTGGTTCTGGTCTCTTTGCTAATGGAATTAGGGCAACATAGCCAACCAATGGGTTTGATGCTTTTCTAATTCCCACTGGCCAACCTCGTTCCCAGGGCCTTTTACCTTGATTTTGGGCAGCTAAGGCTGCTAAGCGCAGGGGTCTTGTCTCTTTCGTCAG